TTCTATGTATCTATCTATCTATCGATCTATCTATCTATCTCTCTCTCTCTCTTTCATCTAATTACCCAATCTATCGATCTATCTATCGACCTATCTATCTATCTATCGATCTATCTATCTCTCTCTCTCTCTCTTTCATCTAATTACCCAATCTATCGATCTATCTATCGACCTATCTATCTATCTATCTATCTACCTATCTATCTATCTATCTATCTATCTCTCTTTCATCTGTTTATCTGTCTAGCTGTCTACCTGTCTATCTATCTATCTGTCTGTCTGTCTGTCTGTCTATCTGTCTACCTGTCTATCTGTGGTGCAGTGTCATTCAGTGTATTGTAGTGTAATGTAGTGTAGTGTAGCTTAGTGTAGTGGAGTGTAGTGGAGTGTAGTGTAGTGTAGTGGAGTGTAGTGGAGTGTAGTTGTGTAGTCGTAGTTGTAGTGTAGTGCAGTGTAATTTCGTGCAGTGGAGTGTAGTTGTGTAGTTGTAGTTGTAGTTGTAGTGTAGTGGAGTGTAGTGTAGAGTAGTGGAGTGTAGTGGAATGTAGAGTAGTGTAATGTAGTGTAGTGTAGTGTAGTGTAATTTCGTGTAGTGGAGTGTAGTTGTGTAGTCGCAGGTGTAGCTGCAGTGTAGTGGAGTGTAGTTGTGTAGTTGTAGTTGTAGTGTAGTGGAGTGTAGTGTAGTGTAATGTAGTGTAGTGTAATTTAGTGTAGTGGAGTGTAGTGGAGTGTAATGTAGGTAGTGTAGTGTAATTTAGTGTAGTGGAGTGTAGTGGAGTGTAGTTGTGTAGTTGTAGTTGTAGTGTTGTGGAGCGTAGTGTAGTGTAATGTAGTGTAGTGGAGTGTAGTGTAATTTAATGTAGTGTAGTGTAGTGGAGCGTAGTGTAGTGTAATGTAGCGTAGTGAAATTTACTGTAGTTGTTCTTTTCAGATGTGGAGTGTAGTGGAGTGTAATCTAGTTGTGTAGTTGTAGTTGTAGTGTTGTGGAGTGTAGTGTAGTGTACTGTAGTGTCGTATAGTGGAGTGTGGTGTAATGTAACGTAGTGTAGTGTAGTGAAGAGAAGCGGCGAAGCGACATCTGAACCTCCAAAAGGGGTCCGAACCCCTAGTGTTTTGGACATTTTGACTTCGAAATGTGCTTCGCGCCACAACGGCGTGCACTATTTCGACATCTGAACCTCCAAAAGTGGTGCGAACATGTGGTGTTTTGCACATTTTGACTTGGAAATGTGCTTCGCGCCACAATGGCGTGCACTTTTTCGACATCGCAACTTCCAAGAGTGGTCCGAGACCGCCAGTTTTTAACACTTTTGACTTCGAAATGCGCTTCGCGCCACAACGGCGTGCACTTTTTTGACATCTCAACTTCCAAAAGTGGTCCGAGAATGGTGTGTTTTGTACATTTTGACTTGGAAATGTGCTTCGCGCCACAATGGCGTGCAATTTTTCATCGCTCCTCTGGCCAGCTGGCTCCGCACCCGCCGCTTTAGCGAGCCTACTTTTCGACCCTCCGGAGCCACAAATCATTGGAAAAACACAGTGTTTCGCGACTTTCCTACCTTTTCGCGCATCTGTCTTACTCTTTCTCTTCTGATCTTCTCTCTGCTAATCTTCCTCTTCTCTCTGCCTCTGCCCTGCTCTGCTTTTCATCTCTCCATATTGTCGGAAGTTTGACTTCTAAACTTCCTTCGATTAGTTACAATATGTCACATTGTGTCACAATGGCCGCCCGCTTTTGCAGGTTTTTGAAGTCTGACATTTCGAACAAGCTGTCCTTTCACATTGCATATTGGTTACGTTGCTTGATTAATGTTTGTTTTCATGTTTTTTCTGCTTTGGGAATCTTTGGGATACATCGTTAATCCGTTAATCATCATTATATCTCTGTGTTTTCCATCCCTCGGACCCAACAGCTGCCCCGCGGATCTGAGGGATGTTGACTGGCGTGGCACCAGGATGGTCACAGGAGCAGGGGTCCAGTGAACTCATTGAGCGAATCCATGGCCATTTATGGCCATTCATTGCTGAAGCTTGTGATAAAAGAACACATCTGGTTGGTGGTTTTAAACATAAAATTACTTTCCATTATATCGGACAATCCTTCCCATTGACTGATATTTTTCAAGATGGTTAAAACATGTTGTCCACAACCTTCACGTTCGCCCAGACTCATGATTGTGACATAACAGAACAACATGTTGATTGGGGAAATAACATCAACTTTATCTTCATGAGGGATCAAAATTTGCCACCCCCTCTGAACAATACGTTGATTGGGATAATAGCATCAACTTTATCTTCATGAGGGATTAAAATTCGCCACCCCCTATGACCAATGTTGACTGGGGTAATAACATCAACTTTATTTTCATGAGGGATCAAAATTCGCCACCTCTTCAGAACAATTTGTTGATTGGGGAAATAACATCAACTTTATCTTCATGAGGGATCAAAATCAGGAAGGCGGGACATCAACTCCGGGCAAACGTCCATGTTGCAGCGAACATGTTTTTGTTTAAAAAAGAGTCTGAAATGTCTCTCATGATTTACATCATTCACATCCAAGATGACTGTTCTGGCACCATTGGAATGGGAACTTTTTTTCGAAGCTGCCAGGGTGAAATGACCCAATCCGACAGCTGATTGGTGGTGGGATGGTAGGAGGGTATCTAAGATCAGTTAATATTTAAAGCGGATCGCAGACCCACGGGAAGTGTTAGAGGTGGTTGGATGTTTCCCAAATCAGTAGTGAGTTTTGTATGAAAAGGCATTGCATACCCTTGATTTGAGGATATTTGATGTTTGGAAGCTCAATAGCGAATTTGCCAGCCATTCACTAACTGCAAAACATGTCAGTGCTTAGTGGCATCATTGATTGTTCTATTTGGCCCTCGTCTATCTGAATTATCAGTCAATGTTCCTGTCAAAATGGCCACAATAAATTGGGGGGCAAGTCTCCCATTTTTAGAAACGCGCAGGAGCTGGCCCCGGAGACAACTCCATGCTGGTGTGGGAGCGGTGCTGTTGGGCAAATGGAGGAAATTGGCCAAAAGTTTCTTTGTTGGAATCCTTCGGGGAATAGATGTCACATGTTCGGATTTTGATACTTTGGCAATCTTTGGCATATGTCCAGTTGTTTGAACTTTACATGACTTTAAATACGTATTGAACTTGTTTGAAGGGACTGTTATTCAAGAGTTCATCGGCCATCATGGCTTGATAAACAGATGTGGAGAAGTGATAGGAAGCCATTGCAAAATCCACGGGATATGATACAAGGGTCCAATGTAAACCGGGCTATGTCGACTGGATTATGTGGAAAGGGAATATTAACAGGGGGAAACCTTTGCTTTGGCTCATGCCTTAAACATTTCGTATTAATGTACAATATCATACAATATCTACATACATTATATTTGCACATTGTGCATATATATAATATAATATATATTATTTAATACGTATTGTTACTGGTATTTATTTATTACTGCTATTACTATTATTATTACTATTGTTTTTATTACTATTATTATTACTATTGTTATTTTTGTTTTATAAACATTACAGTTATTACTGTTATTGTTATTTTTAATATTATATTTATACAATGTAGATTACATTTAAACACAGTCCGTATGTATATTACATCCAGACTTGGATGGAAGAACCTTTCAAGGAACTTCGAAACTCCAGTTATTTACTATTACTGTAAACTAATTGTTCGACCAGTCCAACTTCCCAATCACGGTAAGCTTGTGCTTGGTTCATAAACAAAGTTTCCAAATTACGGAGCATCATGAAGCATTGATTTTCTTCGAAATTGTCGATCTGATGAATTAATATCCCATTTCGAATGCATTTCCATACGCAACATGCAGACAGAACACCATACTTCGCAGGACTTTGAAGACGGTTACGTGGAGTCGGAGATCCAGGGACATGAGGGCAGTGTGCTAAGGCTCAGTGGGACTGAAAGCGGTTGCGGTTTGTGGTCATGGGATTGGGGATATTCTGACCTACTTGGAACACACCTAAACCATCCTAAACCGTTGGGTGTTGTGAGCGTAGGGAACCTCAAGATTGGGAACCCCATTTCATTCCATGGCTTCCTATGGCTTTTGTGGTCATAACAACATGTCATTTTTGGTCCCCCCCCCATTTTGAGACAAACAGAAGTACTGCCTGCGATCATCCCCACGATGTTGTGCCTCGGCCGAACCAAGGTATGGGCAGTGGCTGTTGATTGGGAGACCGCCCACAAGGTGCAGCACCCCAGTTGTTTGCCACAATGGGGACATTTTTAGTTGACAGGTACTGTAACTGAGCTGGGGTTCCAAATCCTGATGACAAATATTGACAAATTTCAGGCACAGCATTGACAAATATTGACATGTGCAGATGTGAAGTTTATAATTTTCTTTGAGGAATGGCACTGTTTGGACAAGTGGTGGCATGTATGACTACAGTGGTGACAGTGACTTGGGTGATGATGATGGTGGTTGTGGTGCTGCTGATGACGATGACGATGATGATGCACAGGAACTAAACATGAACATGACCATGAACCTCGCAGCCCCATGTTGGGCCCATGTGCGTCGGCACACATTTTTCTTTGCCAGTATGCTGGCAGCACAACCTCTGCATTTGGAGGCATGTTCTGGCACGACACCACGAATTGTGGTGATGCCTCACAGCATATCCAAGAAGGAACATGCTCGCTCCAAGAGAGTGTCTAACGCTTTTGCTGCATTTTCCAGCAATACAATGCTCACCTGTCTCATTGTTTGCTGGTCTCACTCTCGACCAAAGCAAGTCTCAGTGTCACAGCGTACAAAAATGCAACTTCGACCAAGAAAGCAGTTCAATTCAACCACTGGGCGAACCAAGGCCGGCGTTTACAAACTGATGTAACTCGTGCAAAAAGTAGGTTGACCTTTGAGATCATCGAGCTGGTATATGTATATATATATATATATAGAGATGGAATAGTCATTGGACTAATGATTAGACATGATGCCAGGTGGTCATACGTTCGTGAGGGAAGAAACACAGCACATGTTGTGACCCCCGAGGCGGACAAAGATCAATATTTTTTGCTCTCGCCGAATCTCGATGTTACTGAAAGATCCAGCAGCCCCAGCGCACGCGACCTCCGGAAGTGCATCAAATCGACGAAATCTCCGGGTGAACTGCTGGCCGTTCTGAAGCATGCGGATGAAGAGGTGGCAGTTGAACAAGACACTTTGGGGACCGCGATGCAAACGTGTGGGCATCGTATGTGGTGGGACGCTCTTCTGGAGGTCTTTGAAATGAAAAACAAGCTGCGTTTGCAAATTCGGTATACAAGCATCGTTTTCAATGCCTTGGCGTGCTGTTTGAGGTGTGACGCAGAGAAAGTTTCTGCTTGCCAGCTGTTGCAAAGGAAGGAGATTGCGGTGGACCTGGCAAAGAAGGCTCCTTGCATTGAGAAGGAAAGACATGGATTTACTGATTGCGCCTTAGTACTTGTACAGGTGAACAAGTAGTGGGATCCAACTGGATCATGTCTTGTGTTCACATGAAACAGTCTGGGGTCCAAGACAGTTTTTGACACTAACAGTCACTAACACAACCACTTCTGACATCAAAGTAGATCATCCTAGGCTCCTGTATCGTTGATGATGCCAGGCTCAAAAAGCAACTCAACAGCACAAATTGAGTTACGATGGATCAGGGGAAGTAGCGCAGCAGTAGCACAGCAATATACCAATGCCAATCCTGCTCCGCTCCAAAGCAGTTCAAGGCAAGTGGCCCAATTCTTTCCAGATTTATTGCTGTTGAGCGGTTGGCAGGATTGTTTTTTTGATTTGCCTCGTGCTTGCTCAATTTTTTGAGCTGCTTGCAGGTTTGGCAAGAAGCACATGTTCAGAACCCCCGAGACTTTAATAACAGCATTAGCGCAGCTTGGCTCCTCGGCTACCCTATTCAGATTCCACCTGTTTAATTTTTGTTGTGGATTAGTTTCCATGTTTCGCCAACCAGTGGGCCACTGTGACTGGGGCATATGAAGCCAAGCCAAGAACTAAGACGGGATTTGCGAGACCCTTTGTTGCTGCGTTTTGTTTCTGGGATTTCTGGGGTTTATATATATACATGAATGTTTCCTGTGGCTAGAGTGTTACCTCAAATCGGAAGTAATTGTGCTAGATGTTTAAAGATTGTGGGCAAAACGCACGCTGTGAACTTTGTTTCAGCACAATCTTGGTATTCGTAGTAATCAAGTACCGGAGGCTAACAAGGCCGGCTTCCTAGTGCTTGGAACCTGCAGTATGGGGTCTTCCAGAAAACACATTTCGTCACAGCAGGGTTGTTTTTTGGGAAGCTTCAGAGCCCAGGAAACTTTGTCGTTTAGCCGGCACACAAGAAGCTTTCAAGTGGGGAGATGAGATCTGGCACTGGACTGAATCGCAGCGCTGGTCTTTGAATTTGATCTCATACTCTTGCCTCGTGACAGCTTGGATTTGCTTTCTTCGTCCGTTTTTTCCTTTAATCATGTTTGGCTGTGGTTACGCTTGTTTTGATTGAGCAAGCTAGTCATGGTACTTTGCAACAGTTGACCGGCGTTTCTTCGGCTTCTACAGTTCAGCCTATAGCTTTTACCCCAAAAACAACCTTCTACAGTCCAGACTGTTTGGGGTCATTCGGCCCGCGAGTGGTCAACACACCCAGGACCTTGCTGGAGAAACGAAAACGTTGCACCACTGTGGATGAGATCCTTGAAAATTCCATGATTGCCACGAACTTACGACCAAATGAGGTAGTCTTGGGTGGATTGCTAAATTGTGCGGCAGAACGACTTGATTGGCGGAGAGCCGACATACTTTGGAGACTTGGCTTGAAGAAATGTTTCCTCTATGAGGTAGGGCAAACAGTGCTTGGTGATATTTGGTGTGGGGAGTGTTCACCATTTTGATCCACTTGATATAGTTTATATGTGTTTTTGTTTTTTATGAATTAGCTTGTAGTAGCCTCGAGGAAGCTCCTAGTGATTGAGCGGCATGTCCCTCCACATTTCTTGGCATACATGGCTTATGCAAAAGCCCACTTTTTGGCCGGTCGCCCAAGAGCTGCTCTGTCAATCATGGATTCCCTCCTTGCCACCAAGTGTGCTTTGGGCTACAAGTTTGCAGTCGACTACCTTCAGTGTTGCTTACTCGTACTCCACGCATCACCTTCTAGAGAGAACAGACAACGATTGTCAAGGATCTTGAAGATTGGCCCAGCACTCATGGAGTCATCATCTGCTTCAGGGAGACTGTACTGGAATCGACTTGTGGACGTTGCGGAAAGGATGCGGTCTACTGGTCAAAATCCTTCTTTGCGATTTGCTGAGCTGATTGTGTCATACTTGGCGCAGCAAAGTGTCATGAAGGACTGGACACACTTGAAAGAAGAATCATAGGGGTTGGAATTCCTGTGCCACAAGTTCTGCCATTGTTCGCATGTGTACGTCAGCATCCCTGCAGCTAAAAAGTGCTTGGGCCGAGAGCTGGGCGAAATTTCATTGAATTGGCGCGTGTAGTTTAGTTTAGGTTTCACTGTATGGTTATCAAGAAGAAAACACATTACAAACAAATGTCCATATCCAATACTAGCCAATGGCAATATATGGGAATATACAATGAGGATTCACGAGCCAGCAACATTCAATCAATTTTTCGAACTGCGGTTGTGACCATTGCCAACCACCATCTCTATCAATTTCTTGAAAGTCGATGCTTAATGTTCCCAGTTTCATTCCCAAATGAGTTTTTCCTTTTGAAACAGGATAAAGCGCAAGAAAAAGCATGTCTTGCGTTTCATAATGCCAAGAAATGTTCATTCACAATGTGAATGTTCAATGTCAATATTAATCGAAGGAAGTTTAGAAGTCAAGCTTCCGCAAATATGGACAGATGAAAAGCAGAGATGGGAAGAGTCAGCCTAGAGAAGAGCAAAAGAAAGAAGATCCAGGTGCGCGAAAAGGTAGGAAAGTCGCGAAACACTGTGTTTTTCCAATGATTTGTGGCTCCGGAGGGTCGAAAAGTAGGCTCGCTAAAGCGACGGGTGCGGAGCCCGCTGGGCAGATGAGAAATGAACAATTGCACGCCGTTGTGGCGCGAAGCACATTTCGAAGTCAAAATGTTAAAAACACCACGTGTTCGGGCTACTTTTGGAAGTTGAGATGTCGAAAAAGCGCACGCCGTTGTGGCGCGAATCACATTTCGAAGTCAACATGCACAAAGCACACCAGGCCCGGACCACTTTTGGAAGTTGAGATGTCGAAAAAGTGCAAGCCGTTGTTGCGCGAAGCACATTTCGAAGTCAAAATGTTAAAAACACGACATGTTGGGACCGCTTTTGGAGGTTCAGATGTCGTTTCGCGTGGCAGGCGCAAGGGGTTGTGCACCTTGTCAAAAGTGAGCAAGACGCGAGGGTTTGGTAGCATTTCCAAAAAGGATAGCAGGCGTGGGACATTTGAAGAGGATCTGCAAAGATGCATTTTCCGTGGCAGGTGCAGTACAAGAGACATGTTCATCAGAGCTGTTAGGAGGTCCGGGCGCTGATTTCCTGAGAGGGGTTGCATTTTGGAGCATCAGATTTTTCAGTTTTGGGAAGATGATTTTGCGTGACAGGTGCAGTACTTCGTATGACCTGGCCTCAGTTTTTCGTGGCAGGCACAGTCCTTTAGATAGGTGGAGTGGAAAAATTGCAAAACGCATTGGTACGAGGCCGTCAGCTCTGCACTCAACTTTCCATTTTTGAAGGACGTCTCGCAGAATTGCTTCGTTTTTGATGTTGTCAACTTCGAAAATTGAGGAAGCCTCGCAAAATTCTTTAAAAATCGAGGAAGTCTCGCAGACTTGTTTCGTTTTTGATGTTGTCAACTTCAATTGCTGAGGAAGTCTCGCAGCATAGCTTCGTTTTCAATCTTGCAGATTGCAGCTAGACAGATAGATAGGTAGGTAGGTAGGTAGATAGATAGACAACTACAACTACAAGTACCACTACACTACACTACTACTACAACTACAAGTACAAATATATTACGCTACATTACACAACACTAATTACACTACACTACACTAATTACACTAATTACGCTATGCTACACTACACAACACTACGCTACACTACACTATACTAAACTACACTACACTACACTAATTACACTAATTACAGTGCAACAACAACAACTACTACTACTACCACCACCACCACCACAGCTACAACTACAATTACAATTACAGCTACAACTCATTAAACTGCAGTACTTTACAGCTACAAATACAAATACAAATACAACTACACTACATTACACTACACTACACTAGTTACATTACATTACACTACAACTGCGACTACCACTACATTGCACTACAGGACACTACACTACAACTACAACTACACTAATTACACTACAATACACTAGACTACACTACACTATACCACGCTACAGTGCGCAACGCTACAGTACACTACCATACACTACTTTACAAGTACACCACGCCACAACTGCAACTGCAACTGCAACTACACTACACTAATTACACTACAGTACACCTACAACTTATCACTACAACTCCACTACACTACAACTACAACTACTACGACTGCAACTACGACTACAACTGCACTACACCACACTACATCCAGCAGTTGTGGTGAGGTGACCTCTGCAACCATTGCAACCATTCCAGAAAACACAACTCCAACCACCTTTCGGTCCATCAGTGGATTCGCTCTGCCATCCGTGAGTCACAACAACCAACCTCTCCTGTAGGTTTCCTATTTTTGAAACTTCCGCCACCGCCTTGTGCGGTACTATTGGTAATACTTTAAAATTATTATATATATATATATATTATCATATATATATATACATTCACCTGTGGAATATTAGTATAAATACATGTGCGTGCTGATGTATGCATAGTTCTACATCAAAAAATCATGTTTGCGCTGACATGGCGGTAGCATAAAACATGACCAAGTCATTGGTCAGCGGGGAACTGAAGTTGGGTCAGCGGCACGCTCATCCGCTGAGTTGACAACTGCAAAGAAAAGCATGGAAACATGATCCATTCATGGTATACAATGTGTATAATTTCGTTCAAGTTCCCTTCAGTTTGGTATGGAATATTATGGAATAGATATATGAACAGCTTGTGTCTCGCTTCGAATATCCAATTTTTGTGTTTCTCATGCCACGTTGTCGTCATCGACTGATGTATCCTTTGTGCAAGGCCCTTGAAGCCTCAAAAGGCATCGGGTTGGAACCCAAAGAAGAAGTAGATGAGGACTGCTGATGGGGTTGGCCCTGAGGTTCATTGGCCTTGATGTTGAGATTATAAGTGGGTCGGCTTCCTTTTGCTGGCAAGCGTCTAATCTCAAGAAGCGTGAAAGCAGTGGACTTTGGTCGTTTTATCTACTGTAAATTCATCTAAATTCTAAATTGTTCACTTGAACTTGTTTGGCAGGTTTCTATTGCACTTCAAACGCACCACTCTCTCAAAGTGAGTCTAATCCTCTAGATGGGTTTTACGGTGTCGGGCCCAGTTTGTGCTGTGCTGTGATATACGCGACGTAGGATAGAGGGTTGTAAAGACTGCCTTCTCGGTAACACGTAGCATCAAGACATCGCATTCTAGAGAGGTGAATCGGTTTATTTCTTTCTTTGAAGCCGTTAAGCCTCAAGGATCTTTACTTTTGTGAAGTTTGGTCGTCGTTAAGCCATGGAAGACCCCAAAATTCCAGCTGTGACCCCCGCACTCCCCATCACCTACAGTGACTATACTGCCGTTTGCGGACTCCTTGTTACTTATTTGACGCCGTGGGCAAACTAGGTGAGGTCTACTTATACCAAATTAGGTGTGAACAATTTGGTATCCCAGTGCACCAAAATGTTGCTTCTAATGCCAGGTTGTGAACACTTAACGGGGCAGGGAACGCGTACGGGGCGCAAGGGCTCAGAATGCATACAGGGCGGGGAACGCATATCAGGGGCGGGCAACGCATACCAGGAGCGCACCCGACTCCACATCACAGTCTTGAAAATCCGCATGCGTACAGAGGTGGCATCGCACACGAGGACAGGAAACGCATACCACATTGGCCACGTGTACTGGGCATGGAACTATGCGGGGGTGGTTTCGGTGCGTTTTATTGTGTCTTTTTTCAAAATTGGTGATCCCCTAAAATGTGTGGAAAAACACACTCACCTGCACCCTGGCACAAAACGCATACCATCGCATTGCGCGCAACATGTGCTGGATGCGTGCATGAGTCGCTACACCACAGGTTGTACTAAGCCTCCAAAAGAAGAACAAATATTGAATTTGTAACGCGTATCAGATTGCGAACGCATGTCTCTTCTTCCGAAAATAAATTACCTGGACCGAAGTTTGGTTCAAGGCTGGAGTGTCAAGCTGGGTTAGTTCTTGGTGATGGCTTTTTTCCCTAGCGTTTAGTCTTGGAATTAGCGTCGGCCAATTAGGAAATCCGTGGGGATCATTTCCGGATATCTGGGGGGCCACCCGCGATTCTACTTGGAGATGATTTGTATGGGTTACAGCGGGGAACATGTGCATTCCAAAGACCACGTGACGGGAAAAAGTACAGCACTCAGTGTGTACAGTATAGGGTTTGGCGGCTTCTGGTGTGACCACTAAAGGGGCACCGACTGTATCAACAACCCTTGGAAGGGGTCATGTTTTTTTCCAAACCAATTTTGGTTTTGGCCTGGAATGTGCAAAGCTTTGTAACATGGGGAATTTCTCACTAGAGAAGGGTGCTTGAATCATGTCTGACTTTTTCCCCTGCTGTCTCCCAGATGGGTTTTGAATATGATGAAAAAGTCTTAAAACATTTAAAAATGGTATTTCCGGAGTGGAACGCGAAGAACATGTCATAGACATTGTATGACATGCTCACCCTTTTTCAAATGTCAATCCACATGATATACGGAGAAGTCAGGGATGGTCCAGCCAGGTGACCCAGTTAATAGTCAAGATCGCTGGGGTATGAGCACTAAAAACACCATACTGCAGCACAGAATACACCAGAACATCTGTGAGCAATTGCGATCACATTATGGGCGTTTTCATGCGTTTTCTGGATGTTGACATTCTCGAAACCGCTAGAGCCGCTACTGGGCCCCATAAAATTCACCGCGAAGAGGTGTAATTTTTTTGTGGTGCCACAGGATGGGTCACCATCTCGGTCGGGCTTCCCAGAGCCTGGCTATGGCTGGTTGACCTTGGTTGTCCCATTATATAAGGGTCCCATTAAGGTTGAAGCCAGCTATTTGGGTGGTTGGGCCAGGCATAAACCTTGGATACCCGTGATTCAATTTTAAATGACAAGGACTACAACATATGCATACTACAATATGTGGGTTTGGGCCCTACAGTTTGAACTGGA